TTTGTTCTCTGCTGCTGAAGCATTATGGGATAGCGGGCTGGATTTTCCCATCATGCACCTGCCTCAGCTGAGGAACGCAGATGTGCCGAGAGCCCAAAGCCGCCGCGCCTTTACCTTTCCCCCGCCCCGAGCGCGCGTCCTGTCCCACCTCACCGAATGCCCGCTTCCCCGGCAGATGCGAGAACATCAAGTTCCAGGAGCCCGAGATGGTGCCAGTGGACGTGGGGAAGAAATACCGCAACTACTTCCTGCAGGATGTGGTGATGAGAAAGATGGAGAAAGTCTTCAGCAAAGTCCCTCAAGGTGAGCGAGACCCGGCTGCTCTGCTCCCGACCCTTCCAGAGGGACAGTCCGGCTCGTCAGCTGGAGCGAGGTCCTGGGGAAATTCCCCTGATCCCTCCCTCCGGTCTGCGGTGTCTTTCCTTTCCCCCAGTTCTGCAGGATGCCTGGGGAGGGAGGGATCCTCCTTCCAGCCACGCTGCGCCGCCATCCCTCGAGTCGCCCCCCTTTATCCCTCGCTCTGCTGGTTCCCCAAATCCTGGGCTGCAATCTGCCTGTTCTGGCCTTCCTCGGCATGTCTTCCCCTTCCTGAGCTCTGTCCCTCCGTCCGAATCCCCACCCCGTAACGTAGCTGTCTCTTCTCCCCGTGCCCCCAACGGGGCCGGATCCAGAGCTGCTAACAGTGGGTTGTGCCATGGGGAGGGGGCCGCTGGTCACGCCGCGGGTACGTGTGCGGGCGAGGACTCGGGGTTGGGAACCAAGGAGGGAAAAGCTCGGAGCTGCGATCCGAGGGGGGAGCAACCCCCAGCTTCTAACTGTGCCCTCCCTTCGTCGCCCTCGTAGCCGACGTGACCCTGGACCCCGACACTGCCCACCCCCGCCTGAGCCTCTCCCTGGACCGGCGCAGCGTCAAGCTGGGCGAGCGGCGCCAGGAGCTGCCGGACAACCCCAAGCGCTTCGATTCGGATTACTGCGTGCTGGGTTCCCAGGGTTTCACCACCGGGCGCCACTACTGGGAGGTAGAAGTGGGAGGCCGGAGAGGCTGGGCGGTGGGGGCGGCCCGCGAGGCAGCCCGGCGCGAAGAGAAG